ATCTGAGTTTCATTTAATTCCCATAACACATTTTTCAATGTTGCATATTACTTGATATGAATCTTTAATAATATTACACAAAAAATCATCACATAAGCTAAAATTAAGGGTTCGTGGCCACGTTGTGTCAAATTCAATATATGTTCTGTTGTAGTATACCAAGCCTATAAAAAATATTAGCAAAAGTAATAAAAAAAATTTAAATAAAATTTTAATAATATTTACTTTGTTCTGAATAAATTTTAGAAATAAAAAATATAAAGAAAATACAAATAATTATTTTTTTCATTTTTTATTTAATATAAATTACATATCAAAATTCAATATTTTTTTTTTATTTTTTTTTATTTTATAGAATTTTTAAAATTTTTAAATCACTAATTTAAGACATGTTTTATCATATATATTATACATCAGTTTTTAATTTGTATTTCGATTTGGGTTATTTTTAGTTTACCAAAAGGGTCAAATATATGCTTTTTTTGAAGGCAATTTCCTAGCCTAAGGTTTTATTTTGTGGCTCTAAAAAAAAAAATAATATTAAAATATTTCTAAAAAGTGTTAAAAATATGTATATGTGGGATTATTCCCAAATTTTTTTTTTTTTTATTTTTTTTAAAATTTTTTTTTAAAATTTTTTTATTTTGAAACATTTAAGTATAAAAATAAATTTAACAAAGATTAAATACTAATAATATGCAATAATAATTTAATATAAATATAATACATTAAAAAATAAAAAATAAATAATTTAATAATAATTAATAACTAAATATATAATCAATAGATGATTGAATAAATAAAATACCTATTAACATTAGGAATTCGATTAAAGACATAGACCAAAAGCAATCTCAAAAACAAAGATATAATATAATATAATAATAAAAACTATCGATGAAATATTCAAATATGCATTGTTTAATTTATTATCAATTAAAAATGGATGTACCAATTCAGAGTTTAAAATTAAACTTGCCAATATTATGAAATTTATTAAAAGTGTTGGATATTCTTCGACCTATTACATGAAATCAAAAACAAAAAGAAACAAATACATATTTCAAAATATTTAAAAGAGGGTTTAGATCAAAGAAGACATAATTATATTGGAAAGAAAAAAGTATTGTATATCCCACAATGAATAATTATAATATCAAAAATAATAATAACTGCAACATTAACAACAATTATTACAATAAATATAGCAATAATCAAAACAATCAAAACAATGGGTTGCAACAACGGTATAAACAACAACAATAACAATAGAAATAATAATTACATTAGCTATCAAAATAGTAGTGAAGTAGCTATGATAACAAAAATAATAATATTAATAGAAGTGTCAACAAAAATAGTAACAATAATAATAGTAAAAGTGATAAGTATAATTTGACTCAATTTGAAAAGAGCTATATTTATTATTATTATTTTTTTTGTTATATATTAAAAGGGAATTAAGAAAAAATTTATAATGAAGATGCAACTTTGTTTATAACTTCATTTAATAGCAACCAAATTAGGATAGTGGGTGGGTTTCTAAAAAAAAATTTACAATAATAAAAATGCAACGTTTTTGGATAGTGGGGGTTCTAAAAAAAAAAAAAAATTGTTTTTTTATTTTGTGGTAGGTGTGTTAGATTAAAATTTTATATAAAAACTATTTGTTGGATAACAAAAACATATTTTTTATAAAAACACACACTCACTATACCATATTTGAAATAGCTTTTTACTTGTTTTTTTAAGATAAAATTAATTTTTTTTTTTTTTTTTATAATTTTACATATTGTTCTCTTATTATTTTTTTTTTTGTTAACTTTTGGGGGAAATGTGTTTTTTTATTTCTATTGTGTTGAAAGAGATAACATCAACACAATAACTAACTTACCCCCTCCACCAAAACCAACATACAACTTTCTCCTTATTACTTTAAATGAAAAAACAATCACATAAATATTTAATTCCCCCTTCAATAAAATTATTAACAATAACCAAATATATTAATATTATATAAAAAAATGAAATAATAAATACATTATTAAATTTTATTTATTATTTATTTTTTTTCTTTTTTTTTTTTTTTTTTAAAAATGATTTAAACCTGTTTTATAATTAATATTCATTCATTATTTCAAAAAAAAAAACATGGTTAAAAGTAATAAAAATTTAAAAAATTATAGTTTAAAAGAAGAAAATAGTGAAAGTTCAGAAGTAAGAAAGGTAGGAAGACCAAAAGCACCTTTGGATAGATTTTGGTGAGTAAATTTAATAATAATTATTTTATTTTTTAAATTATATTAACTCATTATAAATATACTAATAAAATTTTATAGTTTGAGATGTAAAGTTACTTCTACTGGAGTGTGGAGAAAGGGACCCGAGTAAGTTTAGCATCTTTTATTTATTGTTTACAAAAATATTAATATCTCTTTTATTTATTTTTTATTTAGTAACTGTTATTTATGTAATGCGTGTGGGCAACAGTACAAAAAACTTTCAAATTATTTTAATGAATATAAGGGTGACATTATATACCTTATGCATCCAAACCCATTTCCAAAGGTGACTTCGATTTTCATGTTGGAACCCGATCTTTCAATTATTGAAATAAGGGAGAAATTATTAGAAATTTTTAAGGCTATGAAGGAAAATAGTGGCACTTTTACTATCATAATTAAAAAATTCATTTTAGTTTTTAATGGATACTCGTTTTTTTTATCAAATAAATAAATTAAATAAAAATTTTTATAAACTTTATATTTACTAAAAATAATAAACAATTTAAAAGAAAATTGCAAGTAAGAAATAAATTCTTTTGAATATTTCTTTTTTATTTGAGGTATTTAGGAAGGTCTTTTTTGACTACTTTGATAATGCAATTATTTCATCCAAAGAAATAAGAGGCGACATTATTAATAATAACAATTCAATAATCTGTAAATTATAATATTAAAAGCTATTTGTAAAGATATATTTATTTTTTTGAACCCAATGATCCATAATTTTTATTATTATTTTATCCATTTTTTGAAGTTTCATAATTATTTTCTTAGTAATCAGTAATTTTTTAGATGAACTTGTGTATTCCATTTAAATCCCACATTCTTAATGACAACTTGGTTTCCCAATAAAAATAAATTAATATATATAAAGAAATCAAAATTTAAAGAAATCAATTCAAATCCTGGAAATCATTCAAATAAATTGCTATATATAATTTATTATTGGTTTTGTATTAAACAATCACACCATATCATATAATAGCAATCATTATAATTATTGTAAGAGTTTTAATAATATATAGGTTTTAAGTATCATATCATATAGCTTGTTATAGGTTTGTTTTTATAAATGAAAAATATTTGACAATTATCTATGTATATTAAAAATTATTATTATATTTTTAATATATATACTTTTGTTGTTCAAACTTATTGGATGGTTATTAACTGTTTTTAATTTTACATTATATAAAATTACTATGTATTTGGGTAATGTTTACTGTGAGTGTGAGAGCACATGTTAATGTGTGGTCAAAAGAGGGTTTGTATATTTTTATATACAAGTTGGGCACGGATTCGAACCCGGAGCGGTAATTTGTAGGAAATTCTTTCGACCACTTGGCTATCATTGCTCCCCCGGCCCCCAATTTTTTTTTTTTTTTTTTTTTTTTTTTTTTTTTAAAAAATCTTACTTAATAATATAATTTATATTATTAGGGTAAGAGACGGTATTTTATTAAATAAAATTTTTAAATGGTATGGGAGAGGATTTGTATTGTTATAGGTATTTGATTGGGAAATTGATCAAAGTGGTTTCTGGTAATTTATAAAAGGTTGATATTTTAGATCTAATGGTTTGGATATGGTTTGAATTTATTTGCTTATCTACTTTTAGGAAGTTGTTGTAGTTTGATTGGATCGTTCTTGCATATTCTAGTGAGGCGAGTTTGGTCCATTTGTGTTGGATGTTATTATAGTTTAATGATTTAGCAATTGCATTTGGGTTAATCTCTTTGTTAAATAGTTTGCTCCCCCGGCCCCCAATTGAGATTTAAAAAAATTGACGCTCCGGGAAGATTTGAACATTCAGCTAAAAATGTAATTGGAGAAGAAGGGTATCGATCCCTTTACCTCTCGCATGCTAAGCGAGCGCTCTACCATCTGAGCTACATCCCCTAATGTGAAATATTATTTTCTTTACTGCGCCCCGGTCGACCCAAAGATAAAGATGCATACTACAGATGCATATGGAAAAATTTAGATCCATTCCCATTATCATATTTTAATTATGAATAGTAATGTTCAAATCTTTTACATTAAACTATATTTCTTCAAATATTTAAATTGAATTAAGTTAAATTTGTTTTTGGGGCACATTCCTTTGATTTAATCAAGCTAAAAGACTTTGAAAGAACAACTTGGATATTATAAAGTTGGTAGAGTTATATTTATGATCATAGATCTATTAATATTATTGTGATTGTTGGTGTTTATATTGACCAATAGCGTGAATAAATTATCAACATGGATATTGATGATTTTATAATTTTCCTGAAAAATTATAATAAGATGGTTCGTCACGACTCTGCTTTATATTGGTGGATAGTTTGCAAGATGTGTTTGATTATTAAATAATAAATGAATTTAGTTCATCTGCAGCAAATTAAAATTTTATTGAGTATAGGATTGTGTAGAAAGTTGATGTTTGTTGTCATTTTTGTTATTATTATTTGATGGTAAAGATCATGATAATGTATTGAATATAAAATGATAAATAACAATGAATCATTTTTAGAGTAGTTTGTAAAAAGAGAGAAATATTAATTAAATTTTGGGAAAGGAGTTGAATGTAATATGATGGAGGGTTGTAAATTAATCTATTTAATTAAATTTTATTTTTTGCATTGAATATAATAATAAATAAATTAACATATAAACATAAAGAAAACTACTTTAAAATATAAAATAATTAACAATTATTATTTTAATTTTATTCTTTATTTATTTTAAATAAATAAACCAACTATGAATACTAATAGCAATGAAAACATAGAATACATTATTCTATTGGATGAGCTTGGATTTTCTTCGTTTGCAGTTCCAATATAAATATAATATGTACTGTCTACTTTACTGATGCAACTATAGTAATCATAAATATTTTCAAAGTAAATTGAGGTAATGTATTCTGAAACACAATAGTTTTCACATCCACCCTTTGGGTCGATAAAATTACAACCTCCAAAATCTTTATAAACACTATAGCAAACTGAGCCATCACCTATTAAAATGAAATTGTTAATTATTTTATTATTTAAAAAAAAATAAAAAAATAAAAAAATAAAAACAACTTACCCATATATTGAAAAGTGTTATCATCATTGTCAGCATCAGAGAAATAATCACCCATTTTCATTTCACCTTCAAACAAAGTAGTACATGGATCCCAATCTGGATGCTCAAAAAACTTTGTGCATCTTTCAATTTTTACATGTTTGCTGAAAGGAGCGGTGGTTTGATTCGATGGAGATGGAAATCCACAATATGGAGCAGCTAATGAATAATTTACTAAAAATAATAAAAATAATAAAAAGAATTTCATTGTGTATAATATTTTAAAATAATATGTAATATATTTGATTTTTGTGGGTTTTTATTTTTTAAACTATTGTTTTAAATAATGAAAAAAAAACTTATTTTTTGACATTAACGACTTAAAAAAAATATCTTTTGGAATTATCATTATTTGAAAATAAATAAAAAAAAATAAAGATATTATTAGATATTTTTTTTTTTAAGTTTTTTTGATAATAATTGCATCATTTTCAAATATTAAATAATTTTATTTGAAATTTGGATTATTTTTTTTATATAGAACCTTTTATAAAAAATTTTTTGGCAAGTAACTTAAATTTTTATAACTTAAATTTTTTGTTAGAATTTGGACTTACTTATACTGGAGCTGAAGCTAATGCATCTTTGCTTAACAATCTCTTTATTTCTTTAAATGTTTTCTTCCTTCTGGTAATTTGATTCTGGCTACTATTTTAATTGGCTTACTAACTGGCTAACACATATCATATCCACTTCGACTTGGTACATCTGAAACTGGCATTTCATCTACTATGTTGTCTTTAAATTTATATTTAAATATAACAAGTTGTTCTAACATTTCTTCTTTCTTCATTGAAAATATATTATTGCTATTATTATTACTATTATTATTACTATTATTATTTTTAATTTTTAAACTATCTGATTATTACTATTTTCTTTATCTGAATTATTATTTTTATTACTATTTTCTACACTGCTATTTATAACTTATCTATATTCCTCTTTGATTCCCTTTTTCGATTTTGTTACTTCGCTCTTATTACTTTTTGCTGAATTTACAAAACATTGTTTCATTAATAATTTCTGCATTTTTGATGACTTTATCTTTTCTAATTCCATTGATGATGCTAAACTTGATTCTTCTGGGACAATACCTGTATCTTTATTTGGTCTATAATGTAATATTGGAATAACTACCCTATGACATTTCGATTTATCCTCTGTACAGCTGAATTTTCACTATAAACTGTTCTATATTCACTTTCACCAATCGGTTACACGATTCTTAATAATTCTTTAATCTATTCTTTCATCACTATCGACGGGTCGATCAGACTACGAGTATAACCTGTATCTATTAGAGCACTATATCTCTTATCACCTATTCTTATTCTAATACCATATTTGTTTTTATTGGTGGTACTGTCACCAATTTCTAAATTATTGACTTCAATTTTTGATAGTTGGTTTTGTCATCTGCACTCTAACCTTTGGGTTTATTTCTACAATATTTGCTTTATGGCCTCTTTTGTGTATATGTTTGCAGGTACTTCTAAATCTATGTTTTGTTTCATCCTTTGACTCTTGTTTGTCACTACTCCATTTTAAATTACCTGTTTGATTATATTTTAGAGCATTGACTTTACATGATAGGCATGAAACATCTTTTTTGATACCCATTCTATAACAATTGACCGATTTTCTAATATATAAATACCTGGACTGTAAGGTGGTAATAGATCAACTTGAATATTATTCTCTTCTAAATATTGCTTCACTATCTTTGCAGTATGCAAACTACAGTTATCAAGGCAAATGATAAGGTAACCTTTAGAACTTTATTATCTGTATAAAACTCTAAAATTAATTGTGTATCGTTTTGGCTTTTGATAAACATATGCTAAATATTTATAAAATCCTTGATATCGATGGAAGTAGATCCTGTAAATTATTTCTACCTCTATTTTTCTTATTTCTTCAAGGACGTTCATTCTATATATATTGGTTTGTTGTTTACTAATTTATTTATTTAATCGACTTATGAACATATTTTTAGCAATTGGATCTGTTCCACCATGGTTTACATTATTTATGTGTGTTAATTGTGTGTTTAAAAATAAAATAAAATAAAAAAATGAAAAATTTTAAAAAAAAATATATTTTAAAAAAAATTATAAAAATTGAAAAAATAAAATGAATTTAAAATATTGGTAACGTGTGATTCACAAAAACTAATGGTGTAATACTGATGAATTATTACATAGAGTGATTTAATAGTGGACATAGAGATAGATATTGTTAAAAAACCTGAAAAAATATTAGATTCTGTTATGTATTCAAATATATTTTATAATTAAATGAATATTAAAGTTATAATTATACCTCAACCTAATAATATATTTATATTTTTCATTATTTTAAATAATTTCGCAATTAAAATTCCTCACCAATAGTTTCATATAAATTATATTTTATATAATTATTTTATCTTTTTAGCTTACAAATGATAGTGGCGGTTCAGGGTAGCAAATAGTAGATCTAATTGACCAAAAGTGTCGCTCCTGGTTTGATCCTCTGCCCAAGCAGTTTTTCAGTATCACACACAAATTGACTTTACAGTCTCCAACTTGTATCCAGTGTGGTAAAATCTTGCAACTATAACACCTGCCAAAAAAAAAAAATAAAAGAAATTTAAAAAACTTGAAAAAATTTAGATATTTAAGGATTTTTATTTATTTTCAAATAATAATTCCAAAAGATATTATTTTTAAGTTGGTAAATTTTTAAATTTAAAAAAAAAATAAGTTTTTTTCCATTATTTAAATAAAAAATAAAAATTCACAAATCAAATCAAATATATTACATATTTTTTTAAATATTATACATAATGAAATTCTTATTATTTTTATTTTTTTTATTTTTAGTAAATAATACTTTAGCCGAACCAAAATGTGGATGGCCATCCTCATCGAATCAAACCACTGCTCCTTTCAGTGAATATATAACAATTACAAAATGCACAAAATATCAAGAGTTTCCAGAATGGGATCCATGTACTACTTTGTTCCAAGGTCAAATGAAGATGGGTGATTATTTTTCTGATGAAAGTAATAATAACACTTTTCAATATATGGGTATATTGTTTTTATTTAGTTTTTTTTTAATAATAAAATAATTAATAATTTCATTTTATAGGTGATGGCTCAGTTTGCTATAGTGTCTATAAAAATTTTGGAGGTTGTACTTATAGGGACCCAATTCGTGGATGTGAAAAAGATTGTTTTTCAGATTATACCTCAATTTTCTTTTATAATATTTATGATTACTATAGTTGCATCAATAAAATAGATAGTACATATCATATTTATATTGGAAACCAAGATGGAAGCTCACAAGGAAACCCAAGCTCATCCAATAGAATAATGTATTCTATGTTTTCATTGCTATTAGTATTCATAGTTGGTTTATTAATTTAAAATAAAAATAAAATAAAATTAAAAAAATAATTGTCAATTATTGTATTATTTTATTAACATATAAACATAAAGAAAACTACTTTATTAAAGAAGTAGTTTTTTTAAATGATTATTTTTTTTTTATTTATTTATTTTTTATAATATCCAAAACAAATTATAAATTTTAATTATATAGATTAATTTACAAACCTCCATAATAATATATTCACCTTTAACATTTCACTATTTTTCAAACATTTCTTTATATAAAAATGATTCATTTATTAGCTTTTTATTATTTGTTATGTTCATTTTTATTTAATAAGAAATTCAAAATATTATCACTATCTTGATTATTATTGAGCATCCTATATTCGATAAATCTTCATCCCATCTATTCCTGTTTGCTGTTAATTTGTATAGGGTCTCTTTAATTGTTCTGTTCGTTCTTTCCTATCGACCATCTGCTTGTTGACCTGGAGCTGTTAATTTCATTTTGATACCTGTGCTTAAACTCTTCCATAAATCTGATATAAATAATTTGTCATTGTCACTAATAATTGATAACGGTAAACCATAAACGCAAAATAAAATATCCCAAAAAAGCTTTGCTGCTTCCACTATATATTTCACCAATCTATTAAGCAGAGTTCTGGTGAACTACCTAACTGTCAAGCAGATGAAGATGGAGATATATTTCCTATATATAAATGTAAATATAAATAATTATAAAAATAAAGTAAATATACAATTATTTGTTTGTTAAAAAAATTTTATTTTTTTTAAATATTTTATTTTATTTTTTTTTTTTTATTTTAATTTTTATAATAATGGAAAATATAAATATAATAATTAGTTGTCTTTTTCATTATTATCATTTTTTGATGGTAAAGATAGGGATAACATATTGAAATTCTTATAAGAAATAAAAATGAAGATAACAAATAATAATTAACTATTAAATAAAGCATAAAAATAGAGAAAGAAAGGTGCGAATTATAATAAGATGGAGGGTTGAAATTTATTATTGGATTATAATATATAAAAAACTTCTTAATAATATAAAATAATAGACAGCTATTATTTTAATTTCTTTTGTTTTTATTTAAATTAATAAACCAACTATGAATACTAATAGCAATGAAAACATAGAATACATTATTCTATTGGATGAGCTTGGGTTTCCTTCGTGTGAATTTTCGGTAATACTTATAGTATATAGATATTGTTGTTTACTGTCACAAGTATAGTATCCATAAACATTATAATATAAAAATGAGGTATAATTATATACACAATATCTTGCACATCCACTTTGTGGATTTAAAAAATAACATTGTGATAATTCTCTATAAACACTATAGCAAACTGAGCCATCACCTATAAAAAAGAAATTATTAATTATTTTATTATTAAAAAAAAAAAAAAAAAAAAACAACTTACCCATATATTGAAAAGTGTTATTATTATAACCATGAGTGATATAATCACCCATCTCCATTTCACCTTCAAACAAAACTTCACAATAGTCATTACCTGGATGTTCATAATCCTTACTGCAACTTTTAATTGTTACATATCTGTTGAAAGGAGTGGTAGTTTGATTTTCTCCAATTGGAAATCCACAATATAAAGCGGTTGAATAATTTACTAAAAACAATAAAAATAATAATAATAATTTCATTATGTATAATATTTTAAAATAATATGTTATTTGGTTTGTGGGTTTTAATTTTTTAAAATTTTGTTTTTAATAATGAAAAAAAACTTAATTTTTAAAATTTACCAAACTTAAAAAAAAATATCTTGGGAAAAATTATTATTTGAAAATAAATAAAAAAATTAAGATTTTTTTTTTTTTTTTATGGTGTATTTAAGGCATTTTTATGTAAATTGGTGTGTATTTCTGAAAACTTGGGTACAGCTAATTTATCACATAGTATTTAATCTGGATATTCTTGCCACACTGCATACAAGTTTTTTTTTTTTTTTTTTAAAAGTGAAGATGATTCCTAATGATGCAATGTTTTATTGTGTTTGTTTGTTTGGTATGTGTTTAATATTTAAATGAGTTTTACCACACTGCATACAAGTTGGGCCCGGGAACGTCAATTTTTTTTTTTTTTTTTTTTTTTTTAAAAGTGAAGATAATTAAAAGCAAATGCTTTAAATTAATCAGTAAAATTTTCAATTCGTGGGAGATTAGGAAAACTTGCTGAGACTGGGCTCCGAACCCGGAGCGGTAACTTGTAAAACTTTTTTTTTTTTTTTTTTTTTTTTTAAAAGTGAAGATAATTAAAAGCAAATGCTTTAAATTAATCAGTAAAAACTTTTTTTTTTTTTTTTTTTTTTTTTAAAAAAGCTTACTTAATAATATAATAAATATTATTAGTGTAAGCGACGGTGTTTATTTATATTAAAATATAAGAAGAAGCGGGTGTTGGGGTAAGGTGTGTTGGGGTAAGGTTGAAACAACCTATCTAGTTTAAGAAGTTTTTTTTTTCTTAGATTTTTGTTCAATAGCAGGTGATTTCGGACTGCCTGATTGGTATGGAGTGTTTTTGATTGGTGTGGATATTTGGCTAACATTTCGAGTACGGTTACTTTTTGCGGTGGTATTCATATTTGTTATGGCGGTTTTATTTTTGGAAGTTGGTGAAGCTAATCTTGTAAAGATGTTGTTTAGTGCGTTAACCCTGGATGTTCTTGAGGGTTTGCTGGTTGATGATTTATTGTCATCTTGTGGTGATTGGTTTTTTGTTTGTTTGTTTGTTTCGTCATTAGATATTTCCTCGTTATCTAGTGTGTTAGTTGAATTGTTAGATTCGTTATCAGAAATAGTTTCTTTGTAATCATCATCTTGATCATTAAAGTCGACCCTATCTTTTTTGATTAATTGATTGATTATGGTAATGTTGTTATCAATTTCTTTAACAGTGGAGACCCTGGACATATCTTCATTGCTTAATTGATTGATTTTGGTAATGTTGTTATCAATTTCTTTATCAGTGGAGACCCCTAGTATATCTTCATTGATTAGTTGATTGATTTTGTTGTTAGGATGATTTTTTGATTTTGTTGCAGACTTAATCTTAATACGATAGTATGGTGATTGGAGTAGCTTTGATTTGATTGAGTTGTTTTTTCTTTCAATGAGGTGGAAAAAGGAGGTATTGTTTTTGTTGACTTTGATGTGAGAAAAGAAGAAGTCAATTTTTAGGTTAAGTTGTTCTTTTAACACTTTTTCAATGTCTTGATTAGATGAGTTGATGTTTCCAATTACCATATGGTAATCGTCACAGTGCGTGATGAACTTTTTTTTTTTTTTTTTTTTTTTTTTTTAAAAGTGAAGATAAGCGGTAACTTGTAATACTTTTTTTTTTTTTTTTTTTTTTTTTTTTTTTTTTAAAAGTGAAGATAATAAAAAGCAATGCTTTTAATTAATCAGTAAAATTTTATTTAATGTTTTTTATAAAGTATTTAAAGAAAATATTCTAAACTGTTGATATTTGGTAAAGATTTGATGCTGATGAAGTATGCTCTTGCTATTTTTCTTTTGAATTTTCTATATTCTTCATTGATGTTGCTAATTGTTTGTGGTTGTTTAGCGTGTCTTTCCTTGATGTTTTTTAAACCTTTTAAGTATTCTAAAGTAGCTAGTTTAGTCCATTTTGAGGTTAGATTCTTATAATCGAGTTCTTTTATTGTATTTTCTTGATCGTCATATAATTCTTTACATAACCAAATCCAAACATGATGAAATACCAGGGCTATGGCATTTCTATAAGCGAAACATCTAGTTAAGTCGAAATCTATTGCTTTATAGTTCCATTGGAAGTGTGATTTGTGGAATCTGGTGTTGTTGTAATCCATATTTATTTCTCCATCGGATTTGCGACCTTCTGGGATTTTGTATGTAATATTTTTTATTGATATATTCCTTCTTGATCTTGTTATGTCCAGTGACCAATTGAGGCCCCTTCCCGAAGTAATGAATATAAATGATTTTAGTTTATTGAAGTTGATGAATTTCAGAGTTTTTTTACATTTGAAAAATAGATGACCATATGGATCATTATTAAGATTTTCATTACATAGTCTACATGGTTTGTTGTGAATGAAGTTGATGGGTAAGCATCTTGCTTGGAATTTGAATAGAGTGTTTCTTGATTTTGGATCTTTAATATTAAGTATATTATTGAATAGGTTGATATAGCTATAACCTGTAAGTTGAAGACATTGTTGGAATTCTGTTTTGGGTGTAAAGCTGTTGAGATTGTTTATTTCCGAATACCATTCTGCTAAAGAAAGAGGTTTGCCATCTTTATTTTTAATGGATTTCAACCCGTCTAGTAGTCCTTTTTTAACTTTTATTTGTATCCAATCATTGTAGTTTTTAAATAGGTAATCTGAAGTTATTGTTTTGGTTGATATTTGATGTTTCCAACTGTGTTGATATTCTGATTCTATTTTGTTAGTTTCAATTTTATTGATTATTTGATTTATCATCCATAATCTTTGTGCTTTTTGTCTGTTTTTGATATTCCAAAGATTCCAACCTCCTTGATCCATAGGATAATTTGCTCTTTTAGAGCTCATTAATTTGAAGACTTTAAAACCATTTGGACTTTTATTGTTAGGTGCTGATAGGAACCAATCTGCAATTTTATTGATTTCTTTAATTTCATCATCGTTGAATTCTTCAATATACGAGTAATATGTTATTCTTGATAGTGCAAAGGATTTGAGGATGTTTACTTTTGTTTTAATTGAGTTACTTGTTGTTTTCCATAATGATAACGAGGATCTTATAGAATTCAGTATTTCTGGTAGTTTTCTATGGATTCCGGTACCTGTAAAGTAGTAACCTAAATATCTTTCTGGTTTATTTGATATTGGAATAACTGAATTTGTTGTGTTTGGGTTGTTGATTGTTATTGAAACTGATTTATCTATATTTAGTTTTGATGATGTTGCTGTGCAAAATTGATTGAAGTGTTGAAGTACCAAATTAAGTTGGTCGTTGTTATGAACCATTGATGATGAATCATCTGCAAAACCTTGAAATTTGATTCTTCTGTTTGTGTTGTCTAAAGGAAGTCCGATTATTGATTTATCTTCTAGTATTGATCTAGCTAAAGCTTCTATTACCATTACATAAAGAGTCGGTGATAAAGGATCTCCTTGTTTAACTCCTCGTCCTATTATAAATTTATCAGTATTTTTACCATTTATTTCTATTTTTGCAAAGGAATTGGTGAGTAGTTGCATAATAAGATTAGTTAGTTTGGTTGGTACTTGAATGTGTAATAGTGTTCTGTAAATGGCATCATGAGATATAGAGTCAAAAGCTTTCTCAAAATCATAAAAAGTAATGATTCCTGGTAGTTTGTTTTTGATACAATATTTGATAATTTCGTTTACAGTAATTGTATTATCTGTAATTTTTCTGCCTCCAGTAAAACCTTTCTGATTGGGGTTAATTATATCAGGAAGAATAGTCTGTAATCTATTGTTGATTACCTTAGATTGTATCTTGTATAGACAATTAGCAAGAGTTATAGGCCTTCTATTTTTGATGAGCATAGGGTCACCTTTTTTGGGATTGTTATGATTAAACCTTCTTTATATTGTAGATCAATTATGTGTGGGTTGTTTAGGGTGTCATTGAAAGCAGAAGCTAACATTGGTGCTAGTTTTTCTTTATGTGTGATATAAAATTGATTGGTTATTCCATCTGGACCAGGTGATTTGTTTGGATTTAGTTGGTTTATTGCTAGAATTATTTCTTCTTTTGTAAAGTCAGAATCTAAAATGTCCCATTTAGAATCTTTAGATATTTTCCAATTTTTGAGCATGTTTTGGTGGGTAATTGGGTCGTCGATACGTCTGGAGTATAGATTTTCATAAGTGGATAAAAATTCTTTTTCGATATCGTTTTGACTTGTAAGAATATTACCGTTTTGGTCCTTGATTGCTGAAATATTGTAATCATTTGATCTTTGTTTTATCTTAGCTGATATATATTTGAGTGAAGTTTCTTCGCAATATTTATTTAGGTCGCTATTTAATCTGTAATTTAATTGTTTTGCTTTATTAATGGAAATCAGAGAGATGCGTGATGAACTTGTTAGGGGAGCGTCAATAGAGATTTAAAACAATTGACGCTCCGGGAAGATTTGAACATTCAGCAAAAAATGTAATTGGAGAAGAAGGGTATCGATCCCTTTACCTCTCGCATGCTAAGCGAGCGCTCTACCATCTGAGCTACATCCCCTAATTCGAAATCTTTTTCGCTTTACTGCACCCCGGCCGATCCATATAAAGATGCTGAAAAACAAATCATAGAAGGCACTGCAAAAACAATAACAGGAGCCGAATTATCAGCACCTACACACATTCTTTCATAATGTCCAATCAACCATAAAATAAACATCAATACAGATAGTCACGTCTCAATTGACACATAATTGAATCATTGACAAAACTCATATCCAATCCAATATTTTGGAGCTCCATTCTTTGAAATTATAAAAAAATTATTTAAATACAAATAAAAAAGAGATAACTTTAATAAAAAAATACAAACTTTATTAAAGTTAAAGCTCATTCAAATATAAATGGTAATGAAATTGCAGATAAACAAGCAAAAAGCATTAAACCTACCAATTTCAAATAACTATATACCACCAACATTTGCATATAAAAGAACCAAAAAAAATAGCAATAAAGTTATATGGAACCCAAAAAAATATTTTAAAATGTTAAATGAAAATAATAGAATTAACACAATCAATCAATATAAACACCAAAGCATCATACTACTTGATACCATAAAAAACACCGATACTTACATTCACCTTAAAATATTAAATAATTTACCATCTAAGTTCCATACATTAATGAACAAATTAATAACTAATAATGGTCCATGGTTAGATACATGGAAAAGAATGAGGTTACTAAAACCCGAGGTTAACTCAAACTGTAAAAACTGTAATAATGATATACCACAAACATTAAAACATATACTAATATATACTGCACAGACTTTGAAACAATTAGATCTGATACAAGGAGAATCATTACAAACAAACTATTATCTTTATCCAGTACACTCAAAAACTCATCTCCAAACCTAGAAACATTAAGCTGGTTTGATAATTACAATTCTACAAACATCTCACAAAATAACATATTTAAAAATAAATTATTCAATGAAAATAATATTCTATCTTGTGCAATAGGTTATGTCCAAAACATTTAGTTAAAATGCTAAAATATCATTGTAAATTTAACGAAAAAGAAATCTTTGAATTTACATCTTTTTGCACAAACCAAATATGCACAAGAAACCAATTAATACTAACAAAAATAATAAATAAAGTTTCCTCAGAATAATTCAATTTATTCAACCAAATTGCAACGGTTTAATTTGCTCCAAGTAATATTGAAAAATTTTATTAAATAATATTAATTTAAATACCCACCTTTTTTATCTTTTTTTATTTTTTTTATTTTTTTATTTTTTTGTTTTAGTTGAATGTAAAGTAACGAACTATTACTATTGTTGTTGTTATTATTATTTATATTAATTTGGGAAATATATAAATTGGTTATTTGATAATAAATAAATTTTAAAAAATAAATTAAAATAAAAAAAAAAAAAATTTTATTAATAAAAAAAATAATAAAAAAAAAATTGCATATTATTTTAGGGGTTAAAGTATTGATTCAAAAGAAAAGAGAACTTTCCTAAAATAATTTTAGATTATATGAATAAATTTTAATTTATGATTCTTCATTTAAAAAAAAAATCCCCATTATTATTTAACAATTTATCAGTTTTTAAAAATTTCGATAAGTTTAAATAATTTTTTTGGTGTTTTTTTGTTAATGTTGCTTATTTTTTTCTTAAAAAATTTTTTTTTTTTACCGAAATATTTCGGTTGGAAAAAATAAAAAAAAAATAAAAAAATTTCTAACTTTTAAAGGGCAATTTATTTTAGCTCGAAATCATGCAAAAATTAATTAATTTTTGCACAAGGAGCTTTTTTCATAAATAAAAAAAAAACTTTTGAAAAGATATTTTTTTCAAACCACAAAAATTAAAAGATTATCATAGATCATCAAAAAAAAAAGTATTATTTATTCGTTGGTATTGATTCATTTTTTAAATAAATATCATTAATCTAAATTAACTATAAACTATTTATTTTTGAATGACAATATTTTATTTTATTTTTATTTTTTTTATAAAAGAATTTATAAACCATAGTTTTTTTTTAAAATTTTTTTTTTTTTGTTCTTTTAAAGAAACTATAAAATAATAAAATAAAAAAATAAATATAAATATAAATATATATATAAATATACATTAAAATAAATAAAATAAATGAAATTAATAATTTTAATTTTATTTACCATTTTTTTAAGTTTTAGTGCAGCATCTCAAGTATATACCCAATTCGATACCGATGCTTGTTCTAAACAAAGTGTTGTAAATATTGGAGAATGTACATTGTATGAAACATGCAATGTAAATTTAAAATATGTATATAATTCATTAATTGGTAACTATTCACTATTGGTTTACGCTTTAGAAGATACTAGTTGCTTAACTTTACTTGAAAATGCTTCTTTCAATTGTACTGAAAAACCAAGTGATATTGGCGCTGTTATTGTCCAATGCCAAACCCCAGTTACCTATGTTTACTATCAATCATTTTCTATCAAGACTAACTCAGAATGCACAGTAGATATTAAACTTGATACTTGTAATTCAAGTTGTTTAGGAAATGTTAAGATCTCAAAAGACGATATGGTTTTAGAAGGTTACTCATACTCCATTTATAATAACAGCAATTGTGAAAACGAACCAAAAACTGTCGAAAATTTCAAATGTTTGGCTAATAATAAAGATATTGAATTAAATGGTGTAACTCTTTACTGTGGAGAAAAAGAAACTCCATCTCCATCCCAAAATGAAACCTCATCCCAAAGCCACACCTCATCGGAAAGTGGTTCATCAGGCTTCCCATCAGCTGTTTTTTCAGTTGTTTTAATTGTCACTGTAACTTTATTAAATCTCTTTTTTTAAATAAAAAAATATATAATTGTAAATAATGCTTCTTTATTAAATCATTGGCATATTCATAAATTAATTCATAATTAGCAGTTTGATGTTCTGTATCAAATCCTTCCCAACAAAAACACTTATGGATATCTTTAAACTTTCTAAATGATATTAGATTTGCAAAAGTTGAACTATAACTTGAAAATGAATTATATGATAACTTGGTTGAAATGAATCATTAAGAGTATCAACACCAATATTATTTATATCATTTTCATTATATTTTTTATTTTTGTTACTGTTATTATTGTTATTGCTATTGTTATTATTATTGGATTCTTTTTATTATTTTTTTAAAATACAAAATCATAAATTATTAATTTTTTAAAAAAAATTTTATTTTTTTAAACAATTTTATTTTTAATTTTTTTTAATTTTTTTTAATTTTTTTGTTTTTAGGCTTTTTTTTTTTAAATTTTTTCATTTATAAATTTTATTAATTATAATATTTTTTCAAAAACCTTCACAAAGCCATATTAATAATAAGTATAATATTATTATGTTGCTATATTTATACCTGTGTTTATATTTACACCTCTTCAATTATGATAATATTATATTTAAAAAAATCCAACCATATGATACAAAAAACGATAAACGATAATTTCTAATCTACTTTATTTCTATAAATTTTTTGTTTTATATTTATAAATATTTTATTTTGAATTTTCTATTTGTAATAAAAAATGGTTTTAAATAATAAATAATAAAAAAATTGGGTCAAATTTAACAGTTTAAAAAATTTCGATGAGTTAAAAAAATTATTTTGGTGTTTTTTTAGGCAAATTTTTAACCGAAACTATTTGTCCAATTTATCGATCAAATCGCGAATTATTTTCGAGCTCAAAACCAAACCGAAAAATAAATATCCACAATTAAAAAAAAATATTTTTTTCAAAAAAAAATTTGGTTTTGAGAAAATCTGTTTAAACATCACCAAAAAAATAACCAATGAATACTTTTTTCTTTAGAATTTAATTTTTTTTTTTTTTTAAAAAAAAACTATTAATTATTTTACTAAATAAATATTTATATTGTAAAATAATAAATCATAAATATATAAAATATAAAATGAAATTAATAATTTTAATTTTATTTACCATTTTTTTAAGTTTTAGTGCAGCATCTCAAGTATATACCCAATTCGATACCGATGCTTGTTCCAAACAAAGTGTTTTAAATATTGGAGAATGCACATTGTTTGAAACATGCAATGTAAATTTAAAATATGTATATAATTCATTAATTGGTGACTATTCACTATTGGTTTACGATTTAGAAGATACTAGTTGCTTAACTTTACTTGAAAATGCTTCTTTCGAATGTACAGAAAATCCAAGTATAATTGGTGCTGTTCTTATTCAATGCCAAACCCCAGTTACCTATGTTGACTATCAATCATTTTCTATCAAGACTAACTCAGAATGCACAGTAGATATTAAACTTGATACTTGTAATTCAAATTGTTTAGGAAATGTTAAGATCTCAAAAGACGATATGGTTTTAGAAGGTTACTCATACTCCATTTATAATAACAACAATTGTGAAAACGAACCAAAAACTGTCGAAAATTTCAAATGTTTGGCTAATAATAAAGATATTGAATTAAATGGTGTAACCCTTTACTGTGGAGAAAAAGAAACTCCATCTCCATCCCAAAATGAAACTTCATCTCAAAATGAAAATTCATCCCAAGATGAAACCTCATCCCAAAGTGAAACTGCATCCCAAAGTGAAGCCTCATCCCAAAGTGAAGACTCATCCCAAAGTGAAACTGCATCCCAAAGTGAAGACTCATCCCAAAGTGAAGACTCATCCCAAAGTGAAGCCTCATCCCAAAGTGAAGCCTCATCCCAAAGTGAAACTGCATCCCAAGATAAAACCGCATCCAAAGATGAAACCTCATCCCAAAGTGAAACCGCATCCCAAAATGAAACTTCATCCCAAAATAAAACCGCATCCCAAAATGAAACCTCATCTCAAAGTTACACCTCATCGGAAAGTGTTTCATCAGGTTTCCCATCAGCTGTTTTTTCAGTTGTTTTAATTTTCTCAGTAACTTTATTAAATTTATTTTTATAAATAAAAAATATATATAATTGTTTAAAAAAATAGAAAAATATATCTAAATATAAAAGTTTATAAAACAAATAAAATTTAATTAAATATATTAAATCCAAATAATAAAAATTAAAAAATGATAATATTACATTTCGATTTTTTTTAAAAAATATTTATAATTTTAATATAAAAAAAAAAAAAAAAAAAATAAAATTATTTTTTATAAAAAAAATTTAAAATAATTTTTTTTATAAAATATTTTTATCACCTTTTATAATTTAAAAAATATTAGAAGGTCAATATTGAAATCATTATAAATGAAAATAGTATAGTTACAATAGATATATTAAATAAAGTTATCAGTTTCATAATATAGCAGATCACTTAATGGTAAACAATTCGATATCAGAACCAGCCTCAGATGGATATTAGGTATTTAAATTTGGTTTTCTGAAAGATCATGTTGGTGCCTATCTTTCTTCAACAAAAGCAGGTGTAGATGTGAGCCTTTACTCAATTGAAATAAAACTCAAACGATATTTACCCCAAAAGCAATCTATCAATGTATTGACAGTTCAACAATATTCATAATCATACTCAACTGTATATTTTATGTTATTTCCCATAACTTATTTAAATAAAACTTTATTCATTTTTACACTACATATATATATATATATATATAGTTTTATTATTTAAACTCTCCATATTATAATATAAAAAAAAATCAAAAAACAAAAAAAAAATATAAAATTCGAATAACATGCACACACATGAACACCCACATGGCACAAAAAAAATTCAATCAAATCTCCTCTTACACTTCACAATCAAACACCATAATCAGTGAGTGGTTATGTTCTATTATTAAACCCCATTTTTTTTTTTTTATAAAAATTAGCCACACCACCCCCCTAATATCACTTTATAATTTTTTTTTTTACATTTTCAATTATATAATTTTTTAATAATTGGGGTTATTAGGTTCAGAAATTATATATTGAACACCATTATTTAAAAAATAGATTAAGTTATGATGTGTGTGAGATTAGGTTTGAGAATTAAATATTAAATATTTTAAATAAAAATAATTATAAAAAATACAAATAAGGTGGCAACAGACAATATTGAACAAAAATTTTATTGTGTTCTCTTTATTATCACTAAACATACAATATAACAATAAAAATAAATAACAATATTATAAATAGTGTTGTTGTTTAAAACCCTTCACATAAAAAATTTGTTTATATTTTGTAAATATTTTTTTTTCAATATATATTTTTTAATAATAATATTTTAAATCAAAATATTTTTTATATAGTTTTAAAAATAATAATAGTAAATTGTACAATAAAATAAAATAAAATAAATATAAATATAAATATAAATATAAATATAAATATAAATATAAATATAAATATAAATATAAATATAAATATAAATATAAATATAAATATAAAGTAATATATAAAAAATGAAATTAAAAATAATTCTATTTATATCTTTAATTTTATTTATTATTAAAGTAAAATCAGAAGGACCCATTATCACTAAACTATCTATTAAAGACACAATTTTAGATATAGAAGGTGATAATATGGTTTCGGGAGGAAAGTTCTATTTGGTTATTAATGATAAACCACAAAGCAAAAAATTTTATAAATTAAAAACTGATACTTTATTAAAGTATGAATTACCAGATAAATTTTGTGGAAGAATTTTTGTACAAGTAAATTCAACCAGTGGTTCATCAAACATTGCAAATATTACCCTACCTCAAGTCTATATTCAATCACAATTTCCATTTACAAATAACGGTTCAGTGTTAGAGTTTAGAAAGTATTATCTTTGTAACGATTCAGCTCCATTAAAAACAATTTCAAATGTAATAATAAATTCAGATGGCCAAAATGCAACCATATCAGATAAAAGCTGCGCAGTTAATGGTGCAAATAGAACCATCCAATGTAAAATTAGTCCAGGAAATGGGAAAAAAACAATGTTTGCAACAATTAACGGAGTTCAAGAAGTGATTGATTTCGAATACGGTTCCGCAATAGTTAATGATCAAAAAATAGACATGGCAACAAAAGATATTACTTTCAAAGGTTATAACTTTGGTGGAGCCAATACCAATTGCAGTATAGTGTTTTTGGATTTCAACAATAATAATATTACATGTAAAGCCCTGTCCAATGAAGAAATAACATTCTCTGTTCCAGACTGGTATGACCATAGAGGAAGAATATCAATTATTATCAATGGTGTTGAAGGTAGAAACTATTTTATAATCAGTAAAATTATAAAATTTGAAAAGGAATTATCATCGCTAAAAACAAATGGTGGCTTTATGGTCTATAGAGGTCAATATTTTAACGAGATTGAAAAGGTTGCTCCTGCCAATAACGAACCCACTTTAATTAAATCCATCATCAATGCAAGATTCCAGAATCCATTTCACATCTACCCCTGCGACTTTTATATTTCTGGCCCAAACAAAGATCTCATAAACGTATCGATCCCATTGGGTATTGGTAATGGTACACTATATTTGTATTTTGATGATTGGCTCACAAATCAAACCCAAATCACCTATGATATTGAATACACAGTTCCACATGACTCTGATGCAATGACTGTAAATATTATTTATCCGCTTATAATCGTTCTTGGTTTCTTTACAATAGTTTTTGTTTTAATACATAATGTATATGCATTAAGAAAAAAACTAGATTTTTAAAAAATTTATTTATAAATAAAAGGCTATTGTTGCTTTTAAAATATTTAAAACAATTCATTTATTTGTTTTTTTATTTCTTTTATGACCAAAGTGTCAGAACGTGATTCTTCTTTTTTTTTTAAAATAATAAAAAGTGGATTTTTTAAAAAATTTTAATTATTTTATAATAATTGAAAAAAATTTTATTTTTTATATTTTAAATTTTTAAAAAAATATTATAAAATAATTAAAATTTTTTTTTTATAACATATTTTTTATTATTCCATAATATAAATAAATATAATAATAATAATACAAATAATTTTAAAATCAATAATAACTCAATTGACTCCTATTATAATGAGTGGATCTATTTATTAAAGTATTACTACTATTATTATAAGGTTCATTTAGGTTGTTTTTGATTTATCATTATTTTAATTATTGATATAGTTTTTAAGTGTAAAAAAGATAAAACCTTTTATCTTTTAGCAAATATTCCTGAACCAATTTTAAAGAAAAAGAATTAGAGTTTCAAAGGGAATCCAAGAGTAATATGGTTATACAAATTTTAAATTCAACAAAAATGCTTTTCAAGCTCATTAGGTATATATTTATGCCTATATTAAAAAAATAGTTTAAAAATCAAATTTTTATCAATCCACAACGAAATGATCAAAGAACAAATGTACAAAGGTTGTATTTTGTGATATATTTTATATATTATTATTTAATTGTTGTTCTTCTGCAATTTTATTTTAAAAGAAAGAAATATGGAATATTTACATAAAAGTAATTACGAATTACATATTAAAAGAAGGATCAAGAAAAAATTGTTTTATTTGTGCATATCAACCCTTTATATTTTAAAGGTTTTTATAATGATCCTGGTGTCTATAATGTGTGTCATAGAGTCCGTTTGCATAAAGATTGTAGTAAATCATAATCCTCATTTTAATAATAATAATAATAATGTAAATAAATATATAAAAAATAAAATAAATAAAAACATTCTTTTTTAAAAAATATAAAAAAAAAAAAAACCAAAGGAATAAAAAAAATCAATTCATATTTTGATGATAGATTAATTTATTAAAATCTAATTAGATAGAAATAAGGGTTAAAAGTTTTATTTTATTAAAGTTTTTAAGATATTTATTTAATTATTTATTGTTTTCATTGTTTTTGTTAGTAATATTATTATCATTACTAGTGTTGGTATAACATTAATGTTATTACTTTATCACTATTTGATCTAAACTTTTATTGTCGGCATTTAAACCTATATTTGATATAAAGCATCAAACAACTTCGCTCTTCAACTATTCTTTGCTATGGCCCAATTGTATAGAGTATGATGGATTCCTGTTAATTAAATATTTTTTGGTACCTACACCGATTTGAAGAACCTCTATTTATAAATTTTAATTACTCTAAAAACTATATTTACTATCTGTTTATTATATCATTTATTTTATGTTTTATTATTATTATTTATTATTTATTATTTATTATTGTTATTATTTGTTTATCCTTATTATTAATTGGGGTTGAAGCTACAGTTTTATATGATGAGGGTGATTAAAAACTTGGTGTTTTAGAATATTTACTTTTAATTGGTCAATGGTATGAATTATTGTAAATAAAGTGTTTCCAAAGTAATGTTGAATTTGTGAATATTATGACATGAATATATACCAAATATATTTTGTTAAGGTTTATATCCTGCCAATAAATATGCTTTATTTTTAAATTAAAAAAATAATAAACTGACGGATTCCGTCAAAAGCTTAGTTTTCTTTAATTATATCTTCTTTTTTTAATTCTTTTTTTTATTTATTTTTTATTTATTATTTTATCATTTTATTATATTATTTGTTTTTATTATAATTAACTTTATTTAATGTAAAAAGATGTCCTAAAGTGCCTCAACTGTTTTTAAACTGAATATCTGTAATAATAATTATGTTATACTCTAATAATTGATTCCTTTTTATATTTATATAAATTTTTTCTATATTATTTTCTATAATCTATTTTATTTTTTTTAAAAAAAAAGAAAATAAAAATATTTGAAAAATGAAAAAATAAAAAAAAAAATAAAAAGTTATAAAAAAAAAGAGAAAGATATATTTTTTATTTAAAAAAAAAATGGAGAATATACAAAATTTTAGTTATTATTTTAAAAAATGATTTATGATTATATTTTAAAGTTAGGATATAAACTTTCATTTTTTATGCTTGAGAGTACTTTTGGGTGGTGGATTTTTTATGCTTGAGAGTACGTTTGGGTGGTGGATTTTTTTGGAATTTTCTAATTAGTCTATTAACTACTCGGGAATCTTTTATATCGCGGAGGCCACATGCGTTGCAAACCTGTGGGTAGACTCCATCAGAATTAGGATATCTTGCTTTTCTCCATACCCCAGCAACAACTTTATGGCAAAAATTACAAAGCTGGTCTGCTGGTCTGATGGCCTTTGGTCTACCAACTTTTCTTTTTGATTCAGTTAATTTTGCTTTTGGTTGGGAATTTATTTTGGTTTGCTTTGATCCCTTTTTTCTTTTAGTTCCTGAAAGTTTAAAGTCACTTATCATGGATTTGAATCCCTCATTGACTAATGGGCCAACTTTAGGTGGTGGCATCAGAAATGTCATTTGCAAAGATTGGAACTCATCAATAAAATTTGATTGTGGCGATTGTAGTTGTTGTAATTGTGGCGATTGTGGTAAATATGTTGATTGTGATGGTAACTTCTCAAATTGATTAAAATTCTATAAAAAAGTTTTAAAGTTAATATTAAGTTGGTAAATATTTAATAAAACAAAAAAACAAAGAAATAACTACATTTGGTGAAGAGTTTTCAAAATGGTTGAAAAAGTATTTACAAACATTTTGATTATTATTATTTTTGAAACTCTATTTTTTATATACAAAAAAAAAATAAAAAATAAAAGGTCAAAATTTTTCTGGATAAAAAAAAATAGATTTAAAAAAAAAAATAAAAAAATAGGAAAAAAAAAAAAAAAAATTTATTTTTTTAAATATAATTACCTTTGTTAAATTAAAGCTGTTTTGGTAATATGACATTTTTCTTTAAAAAATATTTTCTATGATCTATTAGAAATTAAAACTTAAATGATAATAAAAAAAAAAATGAAAAATAAATAAAAAAAATTTATTAAAAAAAAAAAATAAAAAAATTAATATTTTTTAATTAAATTAATACTGAATTGCAATTTAAATTATTTTTTGAATTGCATTGTAATAATATAATAAATACATACTGTTTTTTATTGTTGTATTAATTGTATATATGTTTTGGGTTTGAATAATGATTGATTAAAAAAAAAAAAATTGTTGCAATTTATTGAAAATTATAAAAAAAAATAAAAAATAAAAAAACAACAATATAATTTGTTAACCCCATTTAATTTTTTAAATAATATATTTATTTATTTATAGTATTGTGGGAATTGGGGTAAAACCTGAGATATAGGGAGGGAGGGATTAAAAAACAGCTTTAAAAAAAAAAAAACCAATTTTAAGTTTTTTAAAATTAACAAAATTTTTAAGTTTTGATCTAAATTTACCATTTGTTTTATTTTTTTTTTTTTTTTAATTTTTTTTTCATTTTTTGTTTCTATATATATTTATATCTGCATTTTGTTACCACAATTGACCAATTACATGAATGATCAATCATAATAAAAAAATAAAAATAAAAAAAATATTGATGAAAAAAATTAAAAAAAAAAAAAATTAAAAAAAAAAAAAAATTTTGGAAATGGTTGGGTTTCCCTCTTCCAAGAAATATTTATCTCTTTTTCAAAGTATTTATATCTATTAGGCAATGCCAGGAAAAAATTAGATCAAAGGGTGAACATAACCTCAAACTGCTCCTTCTAATAAAAAAAAAAAAAAACAAATATATATAATTTATATTATTTGTATTTATCTGTATTTATTAATTATTTAATAAAAAATTAATAAAAATTAATATACATATAAATATAAATAAATAAATACAAATAAATACATAAATTAATAAATAAATACATATTCTAGTTATTTGAATAAGTTATTTATTTCTTTAAAAAAAAAAAAATTATTTATATTTTATTTATTTTTATACAATATAAATAATAAAAATATAAAATAAATAATTTAAAAATATAGTTTTAAAAAACCTATTTATTTGTGTTAAAATAAAAATAATTTTTCAAACACTTTTAAAAAAAATAAAATAAAAAAATAAAAAAAAAATAAAAAAAATAAAAAAAAGTTATTTTATTTATTTGATTGCTGAACCTGTATAATTGTTATTACTATTATTTGTGAATTGATATTGACTGAATGCTATTAGTAGTTATGGGAATAAAGATAGAAAAAGTGAAATAACATCATTATTACAAATGATATTGTTTGAGTGAATCATTTGAAGTGAATAATCAAAATTTGAATAAAGATTATCTTTTCTTATATTTTCGTAGTATTTGGCTCGTGCTTTTAAAATATAATCGAAGCCTGGGAAACTTAATTCCAATACTTCCTTTAATGATGGGATCTATTAAAAAATAAATAAAAAAAGATTAATATTGAATGTAAAAGTAAAAATTATGATTCGACTTACTTCTTTATCCATTTTTAATTTGAATTATAGTTATTGCAAAATAAATCTATAGCCTAAAAGTATTTATATAATGAAAAAATAAAAATAAAAATAAAAATAAAAATAAAAAAATAAAAAAATAATAATAAAAACAATAATAATTATGAAATTAAGTTAAACTAAATTAATTATAAACCAATATTATTATTATTTTTAATCATTATCTTTCTATTTGATGTAAAACAATTTGTTGGTGCGTGGTATATTTAAAGGAAAACTTTTTTTTTCATTCTTTTCCCTTTTTTTTTTACTGTTGTTATTTTTGATTTTGTGTATATTAAAGCTGCTTTTTTGAGTTTTTACAATTATATAGATAATCATTATTATACCATTTATAATGCCACCCAATATATCTTAACTATTATATATCATCATAATAGAAACATTTATTTATTTATTTTTTTTTATTTATATTTTTTTATTTTACATTATAACTATAGTTAAATCTGTTATTGTTGTACAAATACTACTATATAATAACATCAATAATCAAATTGATAATAGTGTGAATAAATGTGTGAAAATTTAATTGAGTTTGTTTTTTGTGTGTGGGTGTTTTTAACACACAATATAACTGTTAATGTTATTATCAGTATTTATTTATATATTTATTTATATATTTATTTATTTATTTATTTATTTATTTATTTATTTATTTATTTATTTATTTATTTATTTATTTATTTAATATATAACGGAGTGTGAGTGATATTGAAAAAATATATTTTTATTTAATTTTAATTTTAATTTTTAATTTAAATTTTTTTTTTTTTTTTTTTTTCTTTTAAAAATAACCGGTTTTCCCAAATAACCCTTCCCAAAAAAATTATTGGACCCCCATAAATATTTA